GGCCTTCTTTTCCCCTATGAAACTCAGTACTGTCCCTTTTTCTTTTTTTTTTTTTTTTAAGTTGTAGATGGACACAATGCCTTTATTTTGTTTATTTATTTTTATGCGGTGCTGAGCGTCAAACCCAGTGCCTCACGTGTACTAGGTGAGTGCTCTATCACCACAACCCCAGCCCTATCTTCTTTTCTTATAGGGACATCAGTCACTGGATTTAGGGCCACTCTAATCCAGTATGAATTCACCTTAACTAATTACATATATAAAGATCCTGTTTCCAAACAAGGTCACATCCTGAGGTTCCGGGTGCATGTGAATTTTGAGGAGACACCGTTCAACCCACTACACAACTCTTGCACCCACTTCCTGGTTCCTTATCATTACCCACAAGATGAGAGGGGAGCATCAGACAGTTCAGCAGGAGCTGGGCCAGATGACAGACACCGCACTTTACTAAGAATTCCCCCACCTCTCAATTAAGCTTATTTTACCAGGGCCACCAAACACCTCTTTATTACTTCAAAGTGTGATTGTTCCCAGGAAGCTTGTTCTCCCTGCTCTACGAGGCCTTACACAGCCTTGTCCCCATCTTTAGGTTTAGACTCAAGACAGAGCCTCTAGCATAAGTGTAAGTAGGCTTGTCAACTCATAAATATTATATAAAATGTTACTTATTCTACTTATTAAAAGCAAGTGAGAGCAACTACTTCACACATCTTATTTCTTTTAATATGTATTCATTCAATGAACAATTACTGGGCTTGGCAACTGCATAGCAGGGTTTGGAATCTATATAAATGGCTAGGTCAAACACTCCTGGATTATACGGGGAACTTGCAAGGGATTTTGGTAATCTTCGCTAATCAGTTTTCTTTTGCTTTGCTGGAACACCTGATCCTGTTAATGTGAAGGCTTGAGACTTGTGACCAGACACTTGGATCAAAGAAGTCAATGGTGGGGAAAATGTGGTAGAGTCTTCCAAACTCACCCTCTTCAATTGGAAGGAAAAAGGACCCCAAAGACTATAGCTGTAGTTTTGTACACAGATACACCAGCAGCAGGGGATGCTCTCTTCCCATGGGTGGCTTCCCAAGATTGCTGCCCACCAGACAACCAGAAATAACTTGGGCACAGCCAAGCCCTCAGGGACCAGTGTGATGAGACTGGCCGGAGCTCACTCAACATGCTACTTGCAGCCAGTCATGGCTGTCACCCTGGGTGACTTCTGATGCAGGAAGACTTCTAGTGAGGGAAGGTGAGGATGAGAGGCTGGGGCGGTCAAGGCTTTCTGTAATTTTTTTTTTTTAATTTTTTAGTTGTAGATGGACACAATATCTTTATTTTATTTATTTATTTTTATGTGGTGCTGAGGATCGAATTTGTGATTTGCCCTTTGTGGGACTTGTTACCCTTCAATCCCCAGTTTCACATCTCCTAATGAGGGACAATAATATCTACTTTGGAAGGTTGTGGTAAGGACCAAATCTGTCACAGGTGAAAGCATCCAGTAGTTTCTGGCACTTGGGACATGTTTGATCAACATTAGTTTACCATTATTATTTCATTTACCTCACACATGCGAAGCAAGTGTTCTACCACTGAGCCACAACCCCAGCCTTTCGTAAGTTTTTGTGGAGTTTGTATGAACACATTCTGATTCACACTGTGGTTGGATGGAAGTTCTGCATATAACACAGATGGAAAGAAAACCTTGGCAGATTTGGCAGCAACCTGGATTGGATAGTGGGAGAAAGCCATGGCATCTGTCCCGGATCTCCTGGGTATCAGGAGATATATGCTTTCTGAGGATGGAGAGGAAAGACCCAGCACCCTCACATGACTTCCCTCTGGGTTCTGGCATTAGGAGAATGTGGTTAGCCTCCTCTGGAGAACTCTCCCACATGCCCAGTCTGTCTCTAGGCCTAACTGATTCCATCTTTGTATTGCAGCCCTTTCTTAGGCATCTTTCCTGGGCCTCTGGAAAAAAGGAATAGCATATCCTGTGCCTCGTGGGCCTAATGTAGGGTGCTGAGCACCAAGTCCTCAATCCCTGAGGGCTTATGGAGTGACTCACACCCTAACCTGGAGACCAAAAAGTGTCTGACAGCTTGGATATTTCAACATCAGAGACTGCTGCCAAATTGCTTCCAGGAGCACGTATAAAAGAGAAGCAGGGGGCTGGAGGTGTAGCTCAGTGGTAGAGCTCTTGCCTGGCATGTGTGAAGCACTGTGTTCAATCCTCAGCATCACATAAAAATAAATAAAATGAAGGTATTGTGTCCATCTACAACTAAAAATATTTAAAAAAAAATAGAGAGAGAATCAGGGGCATGTGTATGGGCATGATCTGTGTCTCAAAATCTGTCAGGACTATTTAAATTATAAATTTGAAAGTCATCACAAATGGTGGGTCGACTGAAATTATTTGAGGAGCAGGCAAAATGTAGACAGACAAACTTTCCAATTTAAGGAAAACAGGAAGTGGGGAGGGCAGTATTGCATTAGTACAGAGAAATGCAAATTGTGAGGGTCTCCTGCCCAGCTGGAAGAGACAGGTAGGGTCTGTGCTGGGTCAATGGAGGCTCATTCAGAGTGTCATGCCTCAAGTCTGAGGTTTGGTTTCAGTTGTGAACTTGCGATTTGCCCTTTGTGGGACCTGTTACCTTTCAATCCCCGGTTTCACATCTCCTAATGAGGGACAATAATATCTATTTTGGAGGGTTGTGGTAAGGACCAAATCTGTCACAGGTGAAAGCATCCAGTAATTTCTGGCACTTGGGACATGTTTGGTCAACATTAGTTTACCATTATTATTTCATTTAACAGCTTCTCCTGAGCCTCAGATACAGGAGAGTGCCTGGCATATAGTTGTTGCTCAGTAAGAGTTTGTTTTTATTTTTAACTTTTTATTTTGAACTATTTTTAGACTTAAAGAAAAGTTGCAAAAATACTGGGGAGTTTCCCTTACCCTGCATCTAGTTTCTGCTATTGTTAACATGGTCTTACATAACTGTAGGACAAAGATCCAAACCAGAAAGTTGGCAGCTGCAGGGTGCCCAAACTGCAGACCTGTAGGGGCTCCACCCTCTCCCCTTACTACTCTCTTCTGTTCCCATGTTCCACTTAGTTGTTGTATCTCCTTAGTAACAGTTCCTCAGTTTCTGTGTCTCATGACCTTGACAATTTTGATGAGTACGGGTTAATTCCTTGTAGAATATTTCTTAATTTGGGACTGTCTGATGTTTTCTCATGATTAGATTGAAAAGTAGGCACTTTTAGCAGGACTACCACAACAATGATGAGTTACTTGTAGTGCCCCCCCCCCATATTGTGGTAAAATACACATAAGATTTACCATTTAAATCATTTTAAAGTGTATAATTCAAGGTATTAAATATATTCATAATGTTGTCCAACATTCAAGTACTTCACAATGTTGTGTTACTTCTACTTCCACATTTTTCATCACCCCAAAGAGAATAGCAGTCCCATTAGTAGTCACTCCCCAATTCCTCCTCCAACCCTGGCATCTACCAATCTGTGTTCTATCTCTATGGATTTACTTGTTCTGGTCATTTCTATGAATAAAATCAACATGCGGCCTTTTGTTTCTGGCTTCTTTCACTTAGCATGCTTTCAAAGTTCATCCTCCTTGTAGCATGGGTCACAGCTTCATTCCTTTTTATGGCCAAATAATATTCCATTGTATGGATAGTTCACATTTTACTTTTATATCCTCTAATTTTTAGTGAGACTTGGCGTGGGCCCTTGGGATGGCCTGGGGGTTGGGGGAGGGCAAGAAGAGATCCCTGTGACTGGCAGGAAGTGCTGTATTATATGTGGAAGAAAGGGTCAGGATAGTTCTGGGGAGTACAGGATTGTATTCACACGTGGCAGACAGTGTTTACCTTTGAAAATTTCATTTGTGTAAAGGGAAAAACAGTTCTTCAGGAGGAGCGAGAAAGGCGCCCAACGATGGGAGGCAAGCTCTCTTTGGGACAGTTCTCAGTGGCGGTCACGCGGTGAGCACCAGGTTCAGGGAGGACCTATTGCCACCCGGGGCACGCATTCGTCTCTTGTAGAAGGGGAGCCTCCCTTTAGGCAAATTTAGTGAAAACTTCGGTGTATCAGAAGGTGACTTCCCATACGTGGCACCCCAGCAGCTCTCGTCCTCTCCCGGGCAGGTGGTCTCCAGGCATTCTGGGCAGCCGGAGAAGGGTGGCCGGGCCGCAACGCCCGCAGCTGGCGGCCTGAGGGCGGTGAGGCCCCGGGCGGGGGGCGGAGCCGAGCGTGCCCCGCCCCGCAGCCCCGAGCCCCGCGCGCGCTCCAAGGCGGGGCGGCGCGCGGCCCGTGCGCGTGCCCGGAGCGGAGGCGTGCGTGGGTCGCGCGTGCGCGCTGCGGCGGGGCGAGGGGCGGCGCGGGCGCGCGTCTGTCAGTGACAGCGGGAGGGGGAGGGGGCCGGAGATGGTGGCGGCGGCGGCAGCGGCCGCTCTTCCGACATGAGGCAGCGGCCGCGGGAGGGCTGGAGGCGGGTGCGGCCGCGGCGGCATCTCTAGCTCGGGCAGGGGCCCCCGGGGCGTAGGCGCGGCGGACGGGCGGGCGGGCGTCCTGGCCGGCGTCGCGGGAGCTGGGCTCTGCGGCAGCCGCACCGCTGCCCGCTGAGGGGGCCCGTGCGGCGCCCTGTGCTCAGCCGGGCGGCTTGGCCCGGGTCGTTGTCGGCCCCCAGGTGGGGGCCAGGCGCTCTCGGCTGCGGGCAGCAGGCCCCGCTAGACCGGCCGCTCCGACGGGGGCAGCCTGCCCGCCTCCGGCTCCGCAAATTTGCGGGCCGGGACTCGTCCCCCGCCGCGGGCAGAGCCCGGAGGAGCGCGGGGGTGGCCACCAGGGGCACGAGACGGGGTCGCCCGCTCGGGCTCGGCCGCTCCGGGAGGGGACGCGGTCCGCGCCGCAGGTCCGGCCCGCGCGCCTTTGACGCACCGGGCGCCGCTGCTGCAGGATGAAGCGCTGTTCGCCCCCGGCGGAGTTGTTTTTGCGAAAGCCGGTCGCCGTGCCGAGAGCGCTCAAGGTCTGAACTTCCCTCCGGAGCCGCAGTTGGAGGCGTGCGGCGCGGAGGCCACCAGCGGGCGAGGGCGCCCGAGGGGAGCGCACTGTGTCCGGGACCCGGGACCCAGGGCGGCCGCGGCGCCGGGACCCTCGGGAGCACCAGGTCCGTCCCGGGCAGTTCTTGCTTCCCGAAGGTGGGGCGGGGGGCATTGACTGTCCGATAAATCGGCAGTTTTTTGTGAGCATATGGTGGCTTCCCCGAGTCGCTTGTTGGAGGCCGCACCCAGGACACGCACAGGTCGCGTGGCCCTCCGGACGTTTGTGTAGTAGGGTCCCTCTAACTCTCGTCGTTTTGCCCGCAGGTACCCCTGACCCGGCCGGGGAGGTTCTGAGAGCTCGGCAACATGGCTTCCCCGCCCCACCAGCAGCTGCTGCATCACCACAGCACCGAGGTGAGCTGCGACTCGAGCGGAGACAGCAATAGCGTGAGGGTCAAGATCAATCCCAAGCAGCTGTCCTCCAACAGCCACCCCAAGCACTGCAAGTACAGCATTTCATCCAGCTGCAGCAGCTCCGGGGACTCCGGGGGCCTTCCCCGGCGAGTGGGTGGCGGGGGCCGCCTGCGCAGGCAGAAGAAGCTGCCCCAGCTGTTCGAGAGGGCCTCCAGCCGGTGGTGGAACCCCAAGTTCGACTCGGTGAACCTGGAGGAGGCCTGCCTGGAGCGCTGCTTCCCACAGACCCAGCGCCGCTTCCGGTACGCGCTCTTCTATGTTGGCTTCGCCTGCCTTCTCTGGAGCATCTATTTCGCTGTCCACATGAGATCCAAACTGTTCGTCATGGTGGCCCCCACTCTGTGCTTCTTGGTGGTGTGCGTGGGCTTTTTTCTGTTTACCTTCACCAAACTGTACACCCAACATTACGCGTGGACCTCGCTGGCTCTCACCCTGCTGGTATTTGCCCTGACCCTGGCTGCCCAGTTTCAGGTTTTGACACCCCTCTCAGGACGCGTAGACAGCTACAATCATACTCCTGCAACCAAGCCCACAGACACCTGCCTATCCCAAGTGGGGAGCTTTTCAATGTGCGTGGAAGTGCTCCTTTTACTCTACACCGTCATGCACTTACCTTTGTACTTGAGCTTGTTTTTGGGGGTGGCCTATTCAGTCCTTTTTGAGACATTTGGCTATCACTTCCGAGATGAAGACTGCTTCCCCTCCCCCGCAGCCCAGGCCCTGCACTGGGAGCTACTGAGCCGAGCTCTGCTCCACGTCTGCATCCATGCCATTGGGATCCACCTGTTTGTCATGTCTCAGGTGAGGTCTAGGAGCACCTTCCTCAAGGTAGGACAATCCATCATGCACGGAAAAGATCTGGAAGTAGAAAAGGCCCTCAAAGAGAGGATGATTCATTCTGTGATGCCAAGAATCATAGCCGATGACTTAATGAAACAGGGGGATGAGGAAAGTGAGAATTCCATCAAGAGGCATGCTACCTCTAGCCCCAAGAACAGGAAGAAAAAGTTCTCCATACAGAAAGCTCCTATAGCATTCCGCCCTTTTAAAATGCAGCAGATTGAAGAAGTTAGTATTTTATTTGCAGATATTGTAGGCTTCACCAAGATGAGTGCCAACAAGTCTGCTCATGCCTTGGTGGGGCTCCTCAATGACCTGTTTGGTCGCTTTGACCGACTGTGTGAGGAGACCAAGTGTGAGAAGATCAGTACTCTGGGAGACTGTTACTATTGTGTGGCAGGGTGTCCAGAGCCTCGGGCAGACCATGCCTACTGTTGTATTGAAATGGGCCTAGGCATGATAAAAGCTATTGAGCAGTTCTGCCAGGAGAAGAAGGAAATGGTGAACATGCGCGTTGGGGTTCACACAGGGACTGTCTTGTGTGGTATCTTGGGCATGAGAAGGTTCAAGTTTGATGTGTGGTCCAATGATGTGAACTTGGCCAATCTCATGGAGCAGCTGGGAGTGGCTGGCAAAGTTCACATTTCTGAGGCCACTGCAAAATACTTAGATGACCGGTACGAAATGGAAGATGGGAAAGTTATTGAACGCCTTGGCCAGAGTGTGGTTGCTGACCAGTTGAAAGGTATGTGCATTTCTTTACTCTGTCATCTTCCTCCCCATCCTGTTTGTATTAAATAATTTAAAAAAATCTCTTTGCAGCATCAGTGTCTGGAGGCAGCTCAACTGTCTCAGGATACCAACCATGGGGGAATCTCAGGATCAGTGTGACTTTTTCTCCAGTGAGTCAAATATCACAGACCTAGTCATGCTGTGGACATGGACACTGAGATAGTGCTGACCTAGATGAGACCTTTAGAAGGAGGGAGGACCTTGAAAGTGCCTTTACTGCCAGTCAGCTGTTGACATTTCTAAAATTCCAGGGGCCTGTCCCAAGAATATAAGGATTTGGGAGCCCTTTAGCAGTCAGAACTTTTTAGCACTTCTAGAGATTGCCTTTGCAATCTCTAGTCACCTTAATGTCCCATGTCCATCTATACGTTCCTCTATCCCTTTTGACAAAACTATGAAGACTAAAACCTCTCTCCCCTTGAGGCCTTACTTTGCTTATTGTCAAAATAGAGATGGGAAGTCAGCTGTGCCCTGCAGGGCCTTCAAGAATTAGGTGGAATCGCACACCTCTCAGTGCACACTGCTTTTGCCCGCATCTCTTAAAACATGTTTTCATTTTCAGCTTTCAACTTTTGTTTGTTGAACAATGCTTTGTTATTATGGTCCTTGTCTTATCACATAGACCCCAGCATTTTAGACTGTTGAACTTTACCAGCCATCAGATGATTTGAAAGTGAAAAAGGTAACAAGAAGCTCCAGTGCCCCCTCCCTCAGCCCTCAGATTTGTATCTGGCCCCTGTCCCTGGTCCCTGGTCTTATGTTCCTAACTGCTGTTCTTATTGTTTTTACTGGGCTGCTTATTTTATTATTTTTTAAAATTTTCTCTGAGGTCTGGGAAGTGGCATATAAATAAGTGGGACCAAAAACAAGAATTCTAAGTCATCTGCTGTGTTTCTCACCCTTTCTTGCTCTTTGAAATAGTTCTTATGTTTTACTAAAAGTCTTCTGGATTGAAGGGAACTTCTGTTTTACAAGTATGTAGAGAAAATAACATTGATTTCTAAAAGCCTACGTCTGTGAAGCTGTATTGTACTTTGTGGTGCCCACATGCTGCATAATTACACAGCTAAAAGCCCCGGGAGAGGGAATCCTCAGAAGGAGAAGGAATATTTCTCAACCATGAGAGAAGCGAGAGTTTAAACCAGAGGCTGCGAAGTGGCTGGGTTGGTCTTGTATAGGTTGTGGGCCTTGCAACACTGCCGTGTGCTGGATGAGCATTTTCCTTCTCTGGTTTGTGATCTGAGCGCCACATTTATTTGTTATCTGGAAAGGTGCTTCATCTTTCTCCTGAATTTTTTTATTGCATTTGTTTTGTTGTTGAAGAATTTATGGGTATAGTAGCAAAATATTTTCACCTGAGAATTGCCTTTGACCTGAAGAGCTTTAATTGTTGGGTTGCTGAGGTCAGAAATGACACTTTCAGTTCACTTGAATGCTTCTGCCATGACAAGTGTCTTTCTGATTATGAGGGTGGCATCTCCTCTTGAGCCCAAAAGTGTCAGTGGAGTTGGGTGTGGATGTAATCCCTCCTTGACATTTTGGCATCTGTAGGACCTGAGAGTTATAGGCTCTGTCGTCAGGGATTATGAGACAGATTCTACAGGGGTGCTGGACTGTACTACATTGTGGTAATAATCAGATATGTTGGGCCAAAGGACAACAATATCGGTTTTGTAAGTTGTACTTTGTATGGTCTATTTCTGGAATTTCAGAAATAAAAAACAGGTGCAATTATCAAGTGTCAAGCTTGGAAAATTGCCAAGTCCTCAAACCTTTGGTAATATCTACTTTTCTTAATTTATTGGTAATTTTTATTTTCAATATGTAGGCCAAAGACACTGACCAAAAAGTAAAAAAAAATAAAAAGTCTGGAAGGGTTTGCTGATTAAAAAAAAATATCTCAATTAGGGTAAATTAGCTTTTTCTTTAAATTTGTGTACATTGTATATTTATAAAGGAAAAGTTTTAGTACTGTATGGAGGTAGGAAAACATAGAAGGCTTAGCTAACCCACTGATTTTTTAAATTTAGTATTCCTCCTTTAACTGTTTCCTTGAGACTGTGATTTTTGCGTTCTTCAGCTCATTTTGAAACCTTTGTGGACAGGCCTCCAGTAATAGAATATGTCTACACAACTTCCTGACCCTGATGACTGTCCCGATGTACAAATCTGCTTTAACCTGTAGAAGCCCTTTCATGTACATGGCTAAGCTTAGTGTGTAAGATTTTTCTCAGCATTCCATCTTTGAACTTGTGGCAGGTTTCTTTGTGTAATGTTGGGTGTTACTTTTTATCTCTTATCCCTTTCCTGATAAAAGTCCCGGTAGAGAACTCTAGAAATGAGCACCAGTGGGCTGTGCAGGGATTCTAGAATTGGTCTGGCAGCATGAAGGGAAGCTGCTCCATGCCCTTGATGTGAGAAGGCTGTGTGCTCTCTCTCTCTAAAATCCATGCAGTGCTTCTGCCATATGTGCCTGGCGCTGAGGATGTGGAGATGGACCTATGACAGCTCTTGACCTTGGGGAGCTCCTGATTACCAGTCTTATTGTAGACTAGGTCCTTGAGTCAGGGACACTTTAGAGAGTGTCCTGAGATCAAGGTGTGGCTCTCCAGGAGGACAAAGAAGAACCTTAAGTGTGGAATGGACAGTCCCGGGCAATGGCTTGGATGGTGGTGTTTCTTGATGGCACAGGGCATTTGTCCATATTCATCAGAACAAAGAAGTGTATAGCTTGAGGGGGTTTGGATTTGATTCTGTAGTTGAGGGAAGTCACTGGTCATCCCTGAAGCACAAAACAGGTTTAGAAAGCTTGCTCTTTCATTTCTAAGGACTGTAGCATGGAAAGGTATGAGATTGAGGATTAATGAGCTGTTTGAGCAAATCCCAGATGGGGTGATGGTCTGAATGAAGGTAACTGAGGTGGCATTGGAGATGATGGGGCAGGTGTGAGCAATGTGAAGATCAACTGGATGGGACTCTATGCCAGACTTAAACTGGCTGGCAGGAGGAGGGGAGGGGCCTGATGGTCTCAATGGGAGACAGTCTTTTCAGTTTCTGGAGTTGACCTGGAGGTGGTCTGGAGTCAGGAAGGGTTGAGATGCCTTTGGCCATGCCCATGGTGTGAATGGAGCCTGCAGGATAGATTTGCAGAAGGTGAAACAGGCTTGGAACCTCTGTCTTGTTCATTTATTCATTCAACAAATTATTCCATGCTAGGTACAGTGCTAAGTTCTAGGGTACAGCGGTGAACAAAACTGATAAAAATTCCAATAGCAATAAGGAACAGGAATTTTGAATTAATTGGTCTTCTATAGAGAATTTCTAATAGTGGAGTTGTTAGGGGAGTTCAACAATGAATAACAAAAATATAGCATTTGTCTTATGATCATTTCTAAGGAGAAAACATAAAGCAGGAAGGGAGCTGTGGAATGCGTGTGTGAAATCCAAGGCAGGGAGGCCAGTCACCGAGAGAGAAAGCTGAAGGAATTTTTTGACACAGAGATAGGGTTTTGGAAATGACCTACAAAGTGAGGAGATAAGGAGGAGCAGGCTGATCTGAGTGATGGAATAAGGGCCCTTTTGCAGCATTTGGGATGAACCCTGAGGCCTGTGGGGGACCTGGCCATTCTTTTCTGCTGTGGGCAGAGACAAGAAAGATGAGTAGTATTATCCAGAGCTGTTGGCTTTTCCTGTTGATGTAGAGTCACAGGGACAGAAAGTGAAACTTAGGAAGCTTCTCTAGCCTTCTTCTCCCTGCATGGATATGAGGGAGCTGGAGCCAGGTTGCTCAGTTCCTCCGAGTCCACACCACTGATTACATCCTTGTAGAAAGGAGTGTCTGGCAAATTGCATTGTTAGATGTAGAGATTAGAAAAGACAAGACTACCCAGGCCAAATTCTGGGCTATTGGATCCCTTAGGGGAGAGATTTGTACGTATCGTCACCTTTTGCCACCTCAGTGACTAAGGCCTTCGCCTTTTCTGAAGGGGGTACTTAGAAGACTTCCTGCTTAGTTGCTGCCTGGGTGGATTGAAGCACTCTGCTTCATCTCTGCTGGTACCTGTCCCATACTGGGAGTCTGGGCTCCTTGTTGTTTCTTTTTCTTTTTATTTTTTAGTTGTTGGTGGACCTTTATTTAATTTACTTATTTATATGTGGTGCTGAGAATTGAACCCAGTGCCTCTCACATGAGAGGCAAGCGCTCTACCACTGAGCTACAACCCCAGCCCATCCTTGTTTCTGACAGCTAAGAGCCCTACCAAGGTCCCAGTTTTGGGTGCCCTTGCATGCGCAGGGCTTTCCTTCCTCCCTCCGATGTGGGTGTCTTGTCTCCTCCTAAGCATATAAGCCTTGTAGCTGTGGTGCGGGCTCCTTAGCTGATGGCTCCACCTCCCCTCTTGGAAATTCTGTGCTTACCCACATTCTTGATCTGGGTCTCCTGTGCATGTTGAAACACAGTCTCTTAGGCAGCAAGTGGCAGAGATAAGATGAAGCAGAAAATGTAACTCAGTGACTGGGGAGGGGGAGATGACAACCACCTGTAGAGTCTATGCTCAAGCAGTACCCATGACAGCTTTTTCCGGGTCTTTGGGACCAAGTTATATGGCTTCCAGTAAGTTGCACACAGCTTTTGATTCTGAAGGCAAGATTTTAAATAGACTCAACGTTTGACAAAGTTAAGGATAAGATTTGCCAAACCGCTGGTGTAATGCAAAAGGAAGGAAGGTCATTTTTTCAAGTAGAGTTATTAAGAAAGGGAAAAGTGTAAAAGGAGAAAATAGAGTAAGTAAAGAAGTTTCAGGGTTCTCATCTACTAGTTAGCCTGTTTCAAATAGTAATTGTTTCTACATACTGGACAGTGTCACCTCTCTACTTCGTTGAGGGGAATAATAATCTTGGAAAAAAATCCCATCATATTGAATTTTCCCTGTATGAGTGTGATTAAGCTGTACC